GGTGGTGATGGTGTAGGTGGTGTAGGTGGTGTAGGTGGTGTAGGTGGTGGTGTAGGTGGTGTAGGTGGTGTAGGTGGTGATGGTGTAGGTGGTGATGGTGTAGGTGGTGTAGGTGGTGTAGGTGGTGGTGTAGGTGGTGTCGGTGGTGCAGGCGGTGATGGTGTAGGTGGTGATGGTGTAGGTGGTGATGGTGTAGGTGGTGATGGTGTAGGTGGTGTAGGTGATGGTGTAGGTGGTGTAGGTGGTGTAGGTGATGGTGTAGGTGGTGTAGGTGGTGATGGTGTAGGTGGTGTAGGTGGTGTAGGTGGTGTAGGTGGTGTAGGTGTAGGTGATGGTGTAGGTGGTGTAGGTGGTGTAGGTGTAGGTGATGGTGTAGGTGGTGTAGGTGGTGTAGGTGGTGTAGGTGTAGGTGATGGTGTAGGTGGTGTAGGTGGTGTAGGTGGTGTAGGTGGTGGTGTAGGTGGTGTAGGTGGTGTAGGTGGTGGTGTAGGTGGTGTAGGTGGTGTAGGTGGTGCAGGTGGTGTAGGTGGTGTAGGTGGTGTAGGTGGTGTAGGTGGTGTAGGTGGTGTAGGTGGTGCAGGTGGTGTAGGTGGTGTAGGTGGTGCAGGTGGTGTAGGTGGTGTAGGTGGTGGTGTAGGTGGTGTAGGTGGTGTAGGTGGTGGTGTAGGTGGTGTAGGTGGTGGTGTAGGTGGTGTAGGTGGTGTAGGTGATGGTGTAGGTGGTGGTGTAGGTGGTGATGGTGGTGGTGTAGGTGGTGTAGGTGGTGTAGATGGTGTAGGTGGTGTAGGTGGTGGTGTAGGTGGTGTAGGTGGTGTAGGTGGTGTAGGTGGTGTAGGTGGTGTAGGTGTAGGTGGTGTAGGTGGTGTAGGTGGTGTAGGTGGTGTAGGTGGTGTAGGTGTAGGTGGTGTAGGTGGTGTAGGTGGTGTAGGTGGTGCAGGTGGTGTAGGTGGTGTAGGTGGTGTAGGTGGTGTAGGTGGTGTAGGTGATGGTGTAGGTGGTGTAGGTGGTGTAGGTGGTGTAGGTGGTGATGGTGTAGGTGTAGGTGGTGTAGGTGGTGTAGGTGTAGGTGGTGTAGGTGGTGTAGGTGGTGTAGGTGTAGGTGTAGGTGATGGTGTAGGTGGTGGTGTAGGTGGTGGTGTAGGTGGTGTAGGTGGTGTAGGTGTAGGTGTAGGTGATGGTGTAGGTGGTGTAGGTGGTGGTGTAGGTGATGGTGTAGGTGGTGTAGGTGGTGTAGGTGGTGTAGGTGATGGTGTAGGTGGTGGTGTAGGTGGTGTAGGTGGTGTAGGTGGTGTAGGTGGTGTAGGTGTAGGTGATGGTGATGGTGTAGGTGGTGGTGTAGGTGGTGTAGGTGGTGTAGGTGGTGTAGGTGGTGTAGGTGTAGGTGGTGTAGGTGTAGGTGGTGTAGGTGGTGTAGGTGGTGTAGGTGTAGGTGATGGTGATGGTGTAGGTGGTGGTGTAGGTGGTGTAGGTGGTGTAGGTGGTGTAGGTGGTGGTGTAGGTGGTGTAGGTGTAGGTGTAGGTGGTGTAGGTGTAGGTGTAGGTGGTGTAGGTGGTGTAGGTGTAGGTGTAGGTGGTGTAGGTGTAGGTGGTGTAGGTGGTGTAGGTGGTGTAGGTGGTGTAGGTGGTGTAGGTGGTGTAGGTGGTGGTGTAGATGGTGTAGGTGGTGTAGGTGGTGTAGGTGGTGTAGGTGTAGGTGGTGTAGATGGTGTAGATGGTGTAGGTGGTGGAGGTGGTGTAGGTGGTGTAGGTGGTGTAGGTGTAGGTGGTGTAGGTGGTGTAGGTGGTGTAGGTGGTGTAGGTGTAGGTGGTGTAGATGGTGTAGGTGGTGGAGGTGGTGTAGGTGGTGTAGGTGGTGTAGGTGGTGTAGGTGGTGTAGGTGGTGGTGTAGGTGGTGTAGGTGATGGTGTAGGTGGTGTAGGTGGTGTAGGTGGTGTAGGTGGTGTAGGTGGTGGTGTAGGTGGTGTAGGTGATGGTGTAGGTGGTGTAGGTGTAGGTGGTGTAGGTGGTGTAGGTGGTGTAGGTGTAGGTGTAGGTGATGGTGATGGTGTAGGTGGTGGTGTAGGTGGTGTAGGTGGTGTAGGTGGTGTAGGTGGTGTAGGTGGTGGTGTAGGTGGTGTAGGTGTAGGTGGTGTAGGTGTAGGTGGTGTAGGTGGTGTAGGTGGTGTAGGTGGTGTAGGTGGTGTAGGTGTAGGTGGTGTAGATGGTGTAGGTGGTGTAGGTGGTGTAGGTGGTGTAGGTGGTGTAGGTGGTGTAGGTGGTGTAGGTGTAGGTGGTGTAGATGGTGTAGGTGGTGTAGGTGGTGTAGGTGGTGTAGGTGTAGGTGGTGTAGGTGGTGTAGGTGGTGTAGGTGGTGGTGTAGGTGGTGTAGGTGGTGTAGGTGGTGTAGGTGTAGGTGGTGTAGATGGTGTAGATGGTGTAGGTGGTGGAGGTGGTGTAGGTGGTGTAGGTGGTGTAGGTGTAGGTGGTGTAGGTGGTGTAGGTGGTGTAGGTGGTGTAGGTG